TTCTATTCCCTAAAGTTATCCTAATCCTTGGGGAAGCCTTTCTCCTGTCAAGCAGTCCTCTTTTTTTTTTTCTGGCCATAATTCTGAAACAACCGTCAAGTTCAACTCAAAGACCTTTCTTTGAGCATCTAAAGAGCCCAAATAACTGGTCATTTTGGACAGTTTTAGAAAAATAGGCCAGGCACGGTGGCTCACACCTGTAATCTCAGCACTTTGGGAGGCTGAGGCAGGCAGATCATGAGGTTAGGAGATCAAGACCATCCTGGCCAACAAAGGCGAACCCCGTTTCTACTAAAATAAAAAAATTGGCCAGGCGTGGTGGTGCGCCCCTGTAGTCCCAGCTACTTGGGAGGCTGAGGCAGGGGAATTGTTTGAACCTGGAAGGTGGAGGTTGCAGTGAGCCGAGATCATGCCACTGCACTCCAAGCTGGCAACAGAGTAAGACTCCGTCTCAAAAAAACAAAAAAAGTGTTAGCATTTGTGAGCCTCTCTGTGTGTTATTTTTGATTAAATGTTTACATTAAAAAATTCATAGGCTGGGAATGGTGGCTTACGCCTGTAATCCCAGCACTTTGGGAGGCCGAGGCTGATGGATCACCAGGTCAGGAAATTGAGACCATCCTGGCCAACATGGTGAAACCTCATCTCTTCTAAAAATTAAAAAATTAGCTGAGCATGGTGGTGCGTGCCTGTAATCCCAGCTACTCAGGAGGCCGAGGCAGGAGAATCACTTGAACCAGGGAGTCAGAGGTTGCAGTGAGCTGAGAACACGCCACTGGACTCCAGCCTGGTGACAGAGCAAGACCCCATCTCAAAAAAAAAAAAATTAGCCAGGCATGGTGGTGGGTGCCTGTTATCTAAGCTACTCAGGAGGCTGAGGCAGAGAATTGCTTGAACTCAGGAGGCGGAGGTTGCAGTGAGCTGAGATCACGCCACTGCATTCCAGCCTGGGCAGCAGAGTGAGACCGTCTCAAAAACAAAAACTCGGCTGGCGCAGTGGCTCAAACCTGTAATCCCAGCACTTTGGGAGGCCGAGGCAGGCAGATCACGAGGTCAAGAGATCAAGACCATCCTGGCCAACATGGTGAAACCCTGTCTCTACTAAAAAATACAAAAATTAGCTGGGCATGGTGGCACACACCTGTAGTCCCAGCTACTTGGGAGGCTGAGGCAGTAGCATGGCTTGAACCCAGGAGGTGGAGGTTGCAGTGAGCTGAGCTCGTGCCACTGCACTCCAGCCTGGTGCCTGGCGACAGAGAAAGACTTTGTCTCAAAAAAAAAAAAAAAACAAAAAAATTTCATGCTGAATACAGAAAATGTGAAAAAGGGACAACCATAAATGGAAGAACAATTGTCAGTAAGCTCACTCCTCAAAAACTAACAGTTTTAGAAGTTGATTCAGTATAAGATAATTTTTTTTTTCTTTGTGAGACAGAGTCTTGCTCTGTCACCCAGGCTGGAGTACAGTGGCACAATTTTGACTCATTGCAACCTCCGCCTCCTGGGTTCAAATGATTCTCCTGTTTCAGCCTCTGGAGTAGCTGGGATTACAGGCTCAAACTGCCACACCTGGCTAATTTCTTTTTGTATTTTAGTAGAGACAAGGTTTTGCAGTGTTGCCCAGGCTGGTCTCGAACTCCTGAGCTCAGGCAATCCACCTGCCTCGGCCTCCCAAAGTGCTATGATTACAGGCGTGAGCCACGACACCAGGCCCAACTAAAGAAAAATTATGGAATCACAGTGCTATTATTTTAAGGCAACTTAAGGCACAAGAACTCTAAGGAAAGGCCTTCTTTAAAAAACAATTTTTTTTGAATCAGAGTCGCATTGTATTGCCTAGGCTGGGGTGCAGTGTCGTGATCTTGGCTCACTGAAACCTCCACCTCCTGGGTTCAAGCGATTCTTGTGCCTCAGCCTCTCAAGTAGTTGTGACTACAGGCATGTGCCACCACGCCTGGCTAATTTTTATATTCTTAGTAGAGATGGGTTTTGCCATGTTGGCCAAACTGTAATCCAACTGTTATCGGTGGAGGATGTTCAGGTTCTTGGAGTCTTGAACAAAGAACTGGATAAAACGCACAAACAAAGCAAGGAAAGAATGAAGCAACAAACAAAGAGATATTTGAAAATGAAAGTAGGCTCCACGACATGGGAGCAGGCACGAGCATAGGGACTCAAGAGCCCCATTACAGAGTTTTCTGGGGTTTGAATACCTTCTAGAAGTTTCCATTGGTTACCTGGTATACACCCTATGTAAATGAAGAGGATGAAGTAAAGTTACAGTCATTTACTTCTAAGTAAATGGAGAGGATATTTCCTGTCATAGCTGAAGTGTTTCCATTTGATTCAGTTCTAGGAAGTCAGCATGAATCTGCTTTACGTTCCCTGCCTCCAGACCCAATTCTCCTGCTTCCTGCCTCCTGCCCACAAATCCTGGGCTCAAGTGATCTGCCCGCCTCGGCCTCCCGAAGTGCTGGGACTACAGGCGTGAGCCATGGCGCCCAGCCAAAATGTAAATGAGTCCTCGTAAAGCAAAAAAAGGTATTGTGAGTAATAAAGTTGAACTATGAATTAAAATAGTGTTTTTGTATATGTGTGATAGTCCAGATTATCTATTAATTTAACTACGTTTTGTGGTCTGCTATGAATTGACTTAAATTGTTGCATGTGTCCTCTCACTCAAGGCCTCACTGTGGACAAGTCTCAATTTTTTTGAAACTTAGTTCCTTGAGCTATAAATGAGAAGACTAGGCTGTATCTCAAAGGACACTGACAGCCAAAATAAGTTATGACACAGGGAATTTGGCCAGGCCTGGATCAATCTTTTATGATAATAAAGAATGAATTCATAAAGCAGAAACATGAATTAACGAGAGAAGGGAGTTCACCATCTTTATTTGCAACCAGAGCAGATACAATGTGTTTCCTGTCCTTTCTACAAGTAGCCATGGGAAAGTGGGGAGGGGAGAGAGGACAGGGACAGGATGTCTTTCCCTGACATGTCACTCAGCAGCCTGTATCTTCATTTTTTTCATGGCCATCAAGTCTGACAGCCCAGAAGTACGTCCTAGAAAACATAAGAATTCCAGATAACTTGTTAGGGTGACAAAAAGGTGCTTAATTTCATTTGCTTTTTTTTTTTTTTTTTGAAATGGAGTTTTGCTCTTGTCACCCAGGCTGCAGTGCAATGGTGCGATCTCAGCTCACTGAAACCTTTGCCTCCTGGGTTCAAGCAATTTTCGTGCCTCAGCCTCCCGAGTAGCTGGGATTACAGGCATGCACCACCACGCTCAGCTAATTTTGTAGTTTTAGTGGAGACGGGTTTCCCCATGTTGGTCTGGCCGGTCTCGAACTCCTGACCTCAAGTGATCCACCTACTTCAGCCTCCCAAGATGCTTGGCTCACAGGCGTGAGCCACCAAGCCCAGCCTCATTTGCATTTTTAAAATTGTTTTCAAGGGCCTTCCTTTCTCCCACTGTTGCAGTGTGAGTTTATAGTGACATATTGTCAGACTTCGGAGAAGGAAAATATTTACAGAGAGCCACTTAAAAGGAAAGGACTTTGGTGTACCTTTGGTAGGCGGACGCTGTTGCCAGTTTGCAAGTGAATCGTTAAAGAAACTGGGAACAGGACAAGTGAAAATGGAGAGGGGCCAGGATATCTAAGACTGGGCTAGGGAGCAGAAAGGGACCTTGCTCTTTCAGGTGGTGTCGCTTTGAAGGCACTGTGATACTTGATTATATGCCAATCTTTGATAACAGAAATGGTGTTATTTATCTTAATATTCACAGCGCGAGAGATAACCGATAATCAAAATGTATGTTCAATTAAATGGAGTAAAAATGAGCGGGAGTAAGGAAAAATGAGACAAATAACAAAGCATCTGTTATTGGATGCTAAAACTTTTTTTGTTTCGCTCGTTACCCAGGCTGGAGTGCAATGGCACGATCTGGGCTCACCGCAACCTCCGCCTCCTGGGTTCAGGCAATTCTGCCTCAACCTCCTGAGTAGCTGGGATTATAGGCACGCGCCACCATGCCCAGCTAATTTTTTGTATTTTTAGTAGAGACGGGGTTTCACCACGTTGACCGGGATGGTCTCGATCTGTTGACCTCGTGATCCACCTGCCTTGGCCCCCCAAAGTGCTGGGATTACAGGCTTGAGCCACCGCGCCCGACCGGACGCTAAAACTTTTACAGGATTTACTGCAGGAGGGCTGCAAAGGGAAAGAAACTTCAACAGAGCACGTTTTCAGACGTGCTGTCAACAAACCACAATTTGGAGGCAGCAGCGGCAAGCTGCGGCGTTGTCTTGGAGAGGTGAGCAGCGTTCCTTAGAAATGAAAACCGGTCAGGCAACAGGTTTGAGCCCCTCGAGTCAAAAAAGAAAGGCAGGAGCGACAGCGACCCGCAGACTGGCAGAATGGAGGAGCGTCTAGGGTGACAGAAACTCCGAAGTCGGAGCCGGCGGGAGAGCACGCAGTGCGGACGGCGGGAGAACCCCAGTCCCGCTGCCGCACCAGGTAGTTCGCTTTGACCCTGTTTCTTCTCAGAACGACCAGAAAGCCTTAAAAGATACGTGGCTCGGGCTGGCATCTTGGCGTGATAACTTCCGTGTGTGTGTGTATGTGTGCAACAGGGAGCGCCGCCCGCGCGTGTGTGTGTGCGTGTGTGTGTGCGTGTGCGCGCGCGTGTGCGCGCAACAGGGACTGCCGCCCGCCAACTTCCGTGTGCTAGGAAGGCTGGAGCGCCGCCCGCCCACGCCCAGCCAGCCCCAGAGGAAACCCGCGCTCCCCGCCCGACCGGCCCCCTCCGCCACGAGCCGGAGCGGGCGGGACGGGCCCGAAGCCACGCCCCAGCCGAGGCGCAGCCCCACAGGCCGCCTTGGCGGCGCTCGCCCGCGCCCCGCCCCGCGACTACATTTCCCGGCAAGCCCCGGGCCGCCCGCGCGCTGCAGTTGACCCATTTCCCGGCCCGTCACGGGCTCGGCCGGCCCCCGCGCCCAAGCGGCTGCTCCCTGCTGACTGGGGTGTGGGCGGGAGCGGCGGAGGGAGGAGGAGGCGCTGCTGGCTGCCGCTGTTGCCTCCGCTGCTGGGCGCCGGGGCAGCTCCCAGGGTATCTGCGGCCGCCATGGACGAGCAGGCGGGTCCCGGCGTCTTCTTCAGCAACAACCACCCGGGCGCCGGCGGTGCCAAGGGGCTCGGGCCTCTGGCGGAGGCTGCCGCGGCCGGCGACGGGGCGGCTGCGGCGGGGGTGGCCCGAGCCCAGTACAGTCTCCCAGGGATTCTGCACTTCCTGCAGCACGAGTGGGCCCGCTTCGAGGTGGAGAGAGCCCAGTGGGAGGTGGAGCGGGCGGAGCTGCAGGTAAAGACCCTCCCGGCCTGGCCGTCTTCATCCCGCCTCTTTGCTCTCTTCCGCCCCGCCCCGGACCCTTCTCCCCCTCCCCCAGCCCGCTCGCGTCCCCTCCCCCTTTGCTCCCGCCCATCCCACCCTGAGCCCCGTCCCCTTCCTTCCTTCGCCTTTTGCCTTTCGCTGACCCCACCTCAACCCTGTTCTCACTCCGGTTCCCCGTGCGTTGTTTACCCTCTCCACGCCTCTTCTTCGCCCCATCCCACTCATAACTCCCAGGCTCATTTCAACTCTGGCCATCCCGCATCTCAGGGCTGCCCTCTCGGTTTACTAATTGGGCTGGCAGTAGTTTTGAGAGACTCGGAGCAAACCCTCCGCTGTCCTGATGTGCCCCATCCTAGATCTAGAGACGGTCCCGGCAGAAGGTGCCGGCTTTGGCTCCTGTCTGCGAGGAAGGTGATCAAGAAGACAGCAGAAGTTGTGTCAGTGAGGCCTTGACTCGAGACGAGAAGTTGACGTTGGGCAAAAGTGTTATGCATGTATCAGCTCCCTTTTTAATATATGTAAATATCTGTTCTCCACTTTCTTCCGATCCCCTCCCAGGTTTCTTTTAGGTATTTCCAATTAATGCATTTTGAATCAAGGACCTAGATGATCACAGAGAGAATGGTTCAGAGATGGCTCCTGTTCTCAGAATCTGAAACGTCCCAAGGGTTAATTTTATGTTCAGTGTTTTGGGAGATTTTCTTGTACTTTAAAAGGAGCTAAAAAGGGGCTTTGAAGTTAGTTACATTGCCTTGCATAATCTCCAAGATAAAGTATAGCCAGGGAGGAGATACTGTGGGCTCTGAAAATAATCAAAGTGAGGCTGATACTTTACAGGCCATTCAGAATTGTCGAATAGGTTTTCAGTGGTTGTTTTAAAACTTTCAAGGCATACACACCAATTTCAAGAGGAACTTAACTATGAATAGTTGTGCCTTTCTGTTTTACGGGCTAAGCCTGTATACTTAGGAAATTTGAATGTAGTTTTAGTTGGCGAAACACTTGAGTTTAAAATGCTACCCAGTGTGTCACTTTTTTTGGTAACATGTATTTTCTTTGGCACTTAAAAAAAAGAAGAGGAGAAATCTGTTAAATAGAATCATGTGCTGGAACAGGCTCTGTGGTGTAGTGGAAGTGGCTGTGGATAGAGCCAACACACAGGGCTATAGTAGACAAGGTTACAGTAAGGGCTGTGTTTGTTGCTAGGTCTGTGACCTTGAGGAAATCCTTTAACCTCTCTGGGTTTCACTTTTATCATTTATTTATTCAGCACCTGTGTATTGAGTGCCAGCTATGTGTTTAGGCCCGGGGATGAAAAAAAAAGCGAAGCTTCTGCCCTCATTGAGTTTATGTTTCAGTGGAGAGGCAAGCAGTCCAGCAGATGAGCCTATAGAATATAATGGCTTATAGTGGCAACTGCTGTGAGAAAAAAGTAAGTCAGAGTTGAGGAATAGACTGTAATAAGGGCAGCTATTTCAGATGGGGTGATCAGTGTAGGCCTCTGAAAGGTGACAAATGAGCAGTTGAATGAAGTGAGGGAGTGACCAGTAGTTTCTATGATTCCTTGTAAGTCTGTATTTCTTTTCTTAGACGGAGTCTTGTTTCATTGCCCAGGCTAGAATGCACTGGCGCAGTCTCCACTCACTGCAACCTCTGCCTCCTGGGTTGAGGTGATTCTCTTGCTCCAGCCTCCTGAGTAGCTGGGATTACAGGCGCCTACCACCAACGCCCCAGCTAGTTTTTGTATTTTTAGTAGAGATGGGGTTTCACCACGTTGGCCAGGCTGGTCTTGAACTCCTGACCTTGTGATCTGCCTGCCTCAGCCTCACAAAGCGCTGGGATTACAGGTGTGAGCCACCACACCCAGCCTTAAGTCTGTATTTCTAGTTATATGTTTATATTCTTTGGCAGCTTTCTCATCCCTGCTGTTCCATTGCTGTAGTATTTAGTCGATCTAGTCTATTTGCAAGTCGTCTTTGACCTTGTCCATATAGTTTCCAACAAATTTGAATGCTTACACGTTGACATTTATTAGCAGTGCATTCTATAAAGAGTGGCTTTCGGGCTTCAAGGAAATGTTAAAGGCAGAGTTTAATGTTGTGCAGTTGTGGGCAATGATTTTTGTATGTAGCTACTTAAAATTTAATTTCTTTTCCAGTTTTGGGAATGTAAGATAAGTCACAGTAATTTGGTGAAAAACACATCAGAAAACAATGCTTACTTTCCTACCTGGGGAAGTTGGGAAATTCCAACCCATCCTCTTTCCTGTTCACTCCCTCTCCTCGTTTAAACTTTTCAATTTACCAGTAACCGTAGTTAATCTTCAATTTTTATACACACATCCACAAACACCCACCCATTCCTGGGTTATTCGTGGCAAATGTTTATTAACTCCAGGAAGCTTTCCCATGGGTGCTTATCATATTAAAGATACTACTTAAAATTTTTTTTTTTTCTTATTTTGGAGACAGGGTCTTGCTCTGTTGCCCAGGCTGGAGTGCAGTGGCACTGTCTTGGCTCACTGCAACCTCCGCTTCCCACGTTCAAGAAATCCTTCTGCCTCAGCCTCCCAAGTAGGTGGGGTTACAGGCATGTACCACTATGCCTGGCTGATTTTTGTATTTTTAGTAGAGATGGGGTTTCACCATGTTGGCTAGGTTGGTCTTGAACTACTGTCCTCAGTGATCTGCCTGCCTCAGCCTGTCAAAGTGCTGGGATGATGGCGTAAGTCACTGCCTTCAGCCAAGGACATTGTTTTTTTATCAGTATCTTTTGTGCGCAAATTAAATTAAGCTTCCACAGAGAAACTTTAAAAATGTGTAATTTTCCTAACAGAGCATGTATGATATATTTTGGGGGGAAGGGTTTGCAATAATCTGTGGCCTTTGTCTCCTTTTATTAGTATAATTGAAAAAAATTTAAATCATTTCTTTACCTTACCATCATTACATTTGAATCTTCTCTATTTTTCTTTTGCCATTGGAATTTTCTTGGAAACAATAAGAAGTAAAAGAGTTGAATACGTTGTGATGAAATAGGGATCAGTTGGTGTCCTCCTTTTAATTTTTAAATCTTTTCTCAAGCCATTAACACCAGAGTCAACATAAATACCTTAAAGATTAAGTCAAATTTGCCCCTTCAGGAACCTGTCAGCCCTGCTCTTTCAGGTTGTCAGGGAAGAGTTGTGAAAGGCAATCCAAGCTCACATCTACCTGGCCTGCCTTTACCGCTTCCCCCCTCCACTTCAGATCTTGGGAGTAAGGAAACAGCCACATTATAGCAAATACCTATTTGTTTGTTATTTATTTCACTCTTGCCCATCTTAGTTGCAAAATTCTCTTTTTATTTTTGATAATGCTCTCCTCCTCACATCCAGTTGAGATTAGACAATTCATGGGGGTGGGAGGAAAAGAATGATTAAGATTTTTAGTGACCTTTACATTTGTAAAAGGAATTGGAGAAGGAACACTAATGATATTTGAGAAAAATATGTGTATGTGAGGCATTGTGCTAGATGACCTCAAAGAAACATGTTTAGTTAGTATGATATAACTTGTAAAAGAATCAGTGTTTATCATTTGGGGAGGGGGCTAGTTTCCTTAGAATAGTGAAGGAGAGGCTGGGCGCAGTGGCTCACGCCTGTAATCCCAGCACATTGGGAGGCCCAGCGGGCAGAGGTCAAGAGATTGAGACCATCTTGGCTAACATGGTGAAACCCTCTCTCTACTAAAAATACAAAATTTAGCTGGGTATGGGGGCATGCGCCGGAGGCTGAGGCAGGAGAATCCCTTGAACCTGGGAGGCAGAGGTTGCAGTGAGCCAAGAACGCACTACTGCACTCCAGCCTGGCAACAGAGCGGGATTGTCTCAAAAAAAAAAAAAAAAAAGAAAAGAAAAAAAAAAGGAATAGTGAAGGAGAGAAGAGTTAGCAGTGAAAGGGGAGAATATCAGGAGGAAAGAACTTTATGTGGTCATGAAAACCTAAGGCTCAGTATTTGAAAATTACTGACTTAGGAGAAAACAGGCGTGTAAATAAAAAATAAAAAATGTTGGCCCTAGATTTTATATGTGTGTGCTATAGAAAAGGCTCTGCTATTTACCTGGAAGTGTTAGAGTTGTGTGAAAAAGGTGGCAAGATTGAGTAGCTTAGGGCATGTGGCATGGAGGCTGTATGCTGGAGTTTCGGCTTTAATGATTTATATTTTTTGGGTTTTGGAATTAATGATTTATATTTTCACTCCCCAAATATTTTTCAAGTAACTACCTCATGCCAGGTCTTGTTGTAGACAGTGGAGATACAACAACAAAAAGACAGATCTTGCCCTTGTGAAGCTTAAATTTTTGAGGCAGACAGTGATAAATAAATACATAAAATGTTGGGAAGGAAAATAAGAGGGTTTGAGAGGGTGGAATGGGGAAGAAAGGATTCACTGATTAGATGCCATTCGAGCTAAGACCTGAAAAGATGATACCTAAGGTGAGGAAAGAGCTTTCTGGATGGAAGGAACAGCTGGGGGGAAGGGAGCATGCTTGGAATGTTGAAGGAACAACAAGGAGGCAAAAGTGGCTAGAGTAGAGGAAGAGAATGAAGAAGTCATGTCAGACAGGGTAAGGACTTTGGCCTTATACCCTCAGCAAGATGAGCAGCCATCAGAATGTTTTGAGCAAAAGAGTGACACCATCTTTAAAAGGGACCCTTTGGCCGGGCGCGGTGGCTCAAGCCTGTAATCCCAGCACTTTGGGAGGCCGAGGTGGGTGGATCACAAGGTCGAGAGATCGAGACCATCCTGGTCAACATGGTGAAACCCCGTCTCTACTAAAAAAATACAAAAAGTTAGCTGGGCGTGGTGGTGCATGCCTGTAATCCCAGCTACTCAGGAGGCTGAGGCAGGAGAATTGCCTGAACCCAGGAGGCGGAGGTTGCGGTGAGCCGAGATCGTGCCATTGCACTCCAGGCTGGGTAACAAGAG